TCTCCATCCCGCCTCTGGCAGAAGAATGGAGCTAGCATTTCAGATCCTCTACCCAATCCCAGTTGCTTCAAAGGGGAAACCCTACTTTCTTCCGTTAAGATCATAGGGAATACGGGGGGAGGGGGGGGTCAGCTCTGTTTGGACATAATTACACTTCATCAAAAGAAGCTTTCTTCATCTCCCATGCGTGAAAAGTCTGCAAGCAGTTAAGTCTGTCTTTCCTTTCCTTTCTTTCTTTTTTTTTAAATATAAAAAATTGCTATTTGGGAAAGTAGCCAAAAATCCGGGAAAGCCAATATAGTAAAAACCGTGCACACGACCTTTGTTTTCCTTTGAAGTTCCTTAAATAAATATGTTGGGAGTTTGTAAAGCACGCTATCATTTTTCGGAGATTTGACTCATATTGATCAGAGAAAGCTTTGCATCCACGGGGAGCGGGGGGGGCAGACGCGCAGGGGTCCCTTTAGATACGTACTGTGTTTCCTACTGTTTAATAAAAAAGTATGTATTGCAGATTTCAAATGAGTTTCAGAGCACATAAACTGCTACATCGCATTTCTGTTCTTTCTCGGTGCTCTTTACGGGGAGCCACTACTGTATTTCCCTGGTTGGCTGCCCGCGAACCGGAGCCAAAGAACCTTCAAGCCTAATCAATCACCGCGAAGACAAAGCAGAAATGAACTTTAAATACCAGGGAAGCTAGCAAAACAGAAAGATAAAATGCTGCACAGAGCTCACACCTTATCCTGGAGGGCAGCGGATTCAAATATTTTATCTCAAATTACCTGTGCACAGGAGTCGCCCTTTATTATGTATAATTAAAAGACATCTAAAAACGCACACTGTTGGCCGCATTCCTAAAATGAAAGGAAACCGTTCACGGGGAACGGCCCTTGCTGAATCATTTCTAGCACATGGTTATAATAGTAGTACCAATGACACACACCCCCCCCCAACGACTGATATGTCAGAACTTGATTCTGGTCTTTCTCACAACTCCCTGGGACGGCCTTGGCTTCTCAGGTTTGCCTTCCTCTTAACTGTGCACCTCAGAGCATTCCGGTCTCCGTCAGGCCTGTCTAGCTGTATTTTTTAAGAATAATGCTAGTTCCTAAATTCAGGCAGCATACGCTAAGCAGAACTTAGGATCAGGGCTTCTGAGAGCCACCACAGGCCCCTGAAAAAAAAAGATTCCCTTGGAGGA